CAGTGGGTAGAGGCAATATTCGAAAGTTCTACGACCCGGTCATCAAACACCTATACAATGGGGTAGCTGAGCTGCATCCCTGTGTCCATTACATCAAAACAAAAGGGGCAGTTAAGAAAAAAATATATCAGCCAATTAAGCCAGCCAATCAGTCTGGTACCTCGTAACATGTAAGTAGAATGCAGCTTGCAAGCCAACAGGTATTGGTGTATTTTCCCCTCAAAAAAACAGTGTAAGAAAGGGTTTTTTGTATATATACCTTACAGATATCCACAATCGACGGACATGTAAATACAAATTAACTATTACTTTCCGAATGTGCATTATATGGGTGACTGGTAAGTTATTCAGTTCGTCTCAGTGTGCAACACACGACTTGGTCATCAAGTAATTTAGCAGTATCATTCAAAGGCATGCTTATCACTTAAGTGAGCGGTGTATGCTCATCACTGCGATGGTCGGTCCTGTGTCCCGACATTTACGGGCATCATCTTTCCATGTCCTCAGAACGCACGCCCAGTTTTTAGTGGGGATTCTCGAGCATCTGGATTTTTCAAACTGCGTCTTCATCAGTTGCAGCTAAAACTAGTTATCTTATCTTGCACCTCAATTTCCAGGCTGTAAAGTTGCATAGACATTGTTCGGAAGGGGAATATTTGTGGGGCTCATTTAAGCAGTCGATCTGTCTGCTTACTTGTTTTCGGACATATGTTTTTTAGGTTCCACTTTCCTTTATTCGTTGAGTACTTTTTAGTGGAGACCAGGTAATCTGCGCATTCTAACTCATTTACGTGAGAACTTGAAGAAAAAACAACAGACAGCAAATATGCGCATATATTAAATGGGGAATAAAGCATTTTCGTCGTCAGAGGGTAAACCAAAAAGTCTAACATACTGAAGATTAGGTCACCGATAAGGATGAACAAATTGCAACTTGATTCAGGGCGGAAAAAAGTATGCAAAAAGTAAGTGTCATATGCAAGTTGAAGTGAATTAAAATAAGGGGAAAGCCTCGTATGTAGTCACGGCTGGGGGCAGGGGGGGGGAGATTTATTTGTCGAGGTAAGATGCAGCAAAGAGAAAGTAACAGACCCTCGTCTGTCTTCTATACACGCACTGGTCCGGTCTCCTCGCTATCCAGAGACCCCCTAATAGAACA